AAAAAAATATACCCCTGTTTGCGCCAAACATCCATTTTTGGCCCCACAAAGACGTAGACAATGTAGTTGTAGTATTCAAAAAAAAAAAAAAAAGTAAAAGTCAAAACCAAAACCAAAAAAGTAAAGGGAAAACATTCAATCAATTACAACCGGTTAGCAGTTAATGACAGAGTTGATCATTGATGATGATGATGATGATGACGCAAAATGATTATCAAATTGGATAATTTTGGAATTTTTCCTTTAACATACACGCTATATTGCACACTTGTTTGATTGTCGATTCAATCATCATCATTATTATTATTATCATCATTTGTATTTGTAGTCATGATAATAACCAGTTATTGGTTGATTTTTTTTTTGTTTTCTATTTCTTTGTTGTTGTTGTTGTTGTCTTTCACATAATTAGTAACAACAATTCATTAGGATTTGATTGTCATTTTTGTTTTCAGTGATCATTTTAAATTCGTCAATCAAATTGGTTAGATCATAGGCATAGATCATCTTCTTTTAGTTTTTTTTTTTTTTTTTTTTGCCAAGATTCTTGTCTTGATTCCAAAATTCCGGTTACAACAAAAACAAAAACATAAACAAAAACAATGACTGTAGCAATAGGTAGTTCACAAAAAACATTAAATAATTTATTTTCTTTTTCATCATTGGCAACAACATTATCAACATCAATATTAGGTGCATCACCATCATCATCATCATCATCATCAAATTCATCATCAACAATATCAACATTAACAAATTATTCACCCTCACCATCGTTATCATCATCATCAACGGTTACATTAACAAGATTTAATCATCGACGTTCATCATTTGATTATGGTAATGATGATGATAATATTGATAATACTGGATTCAAGGTATGTATTATTTGACATTGTCACATGCATATATCTTTCTTTAGAACAAAAATGTCCTACGAATTGTCACCAAAATCAATGTTTCAATGTCGAGAACAAAATTTTTTTCCTTCGTTTAAAATTTGTTTTTTTAAATATTTCAAAAAGCAAAAGGAAGAAAAAAAATCTGTCAATATCATTGACCTAAATTGACATTAATGTAATACAGTAGCATTTTGTGTACGGATTTTATCAAAGAAACGCTTTTCCCGATGATTGTTGATCAAGGACAAACACAAACACACACAAGATCCGATCAACACAATCAAGAATTATAAGCAATGTCATGTTGTTTATGGTTATATAGCAGAAAAAAAACAAAGCAAAAAATATTGTTATAGATCTTCACAATTCAATTGATTAAAACATTCTGTTCATACGATAAAATAATGTTTTTTGTTTTGCTTTTATTTATTGAATTTTATAGTCGGAAAAATTACCTGTTGCCGGTCTAAGCAATCTAGGTAATACTTGTTATATGAATTCCGTTTTGCAAGCATTGTTTGCAACTAAACCATTTCGTGATTATATAATGGCTCACCATGAAAATGGACAACTTTATTCGGGTAAATTAATAATCAATCCGATTATCAATGGAGAATATATGTTTTTTTTTTCAACAAATTTCTTTTTTCTTTTTGTTTACATCCAAAATAGCATTATCACGGCTTTTTAAAGAAATGTCTTCATCCATTCGTCATGGTCATGTGAATCCATCACAATTTCGTTCAACATTTATTCAATTGGAATCGAAATTTAATGGCTGCGAGTATGTATTTATTAAAGTTTGTTCAATAAAATAATCTGACTATTTTCTTTTTGGAAAAATAATAAACAGACAACAAGATGCTCAAGAATTTTTAAGCTATGTGATTAATGATTTACATGACGAATTAAATAAACCTAAATCAAGATCACGATCAAATAATACGATGATTGAACCAAAATCGGCGCAGGAAGCCTGGTCTATTTATCGTTCACGTTATGATGATTCAAAATTAGTTGATATTTTTGTTGGACAATATGCATCAGTGATTAAATGTAGTTATTGTGGTAATGAAAGTACTTGTTGGGATCCATTCTGGGATCTACCATTACCGGTTCCAAGAAATCGTAATCGTATCGATATTGATGAATGTATAGCCGAATTTACTGCAGCCGAAATATTGGATGGTAATGAACAACCGGTATGTATCGATTTTCTAATTCTAGATTCATTCGAAAATAACCATTTTATAAAAAAAATAAAATCTTATTTTTTTTTTAGTTTTGTTCACGCTGTAAACAACATCGTCGATCAACCAAACGTCTTTCGATAGTTCGTTCACCGAAAATTCTAGTGATACGTAAGTTTCTTTCTATTTTCATTCATTTCATTCATTCATTATCTCGAAAAAAAAGATTTAACATTATTAATGTTTGATAATGATACAATCTTATTTCATTTCGATAATGATATTTTTCTATTCATCCATTATCATCATCATCATCATCATCAATATTACAAACAAACAAACACTTTGAACGACACTTTTCTATTTTTGATTTTTATTTATGTTTTGTTTTGTTTTGTTTGTTTGTTTATATAGATTTGAAAAAATTCTCAAATAATGGCTATAAATTGTCCAGCGATATAAATGTAAATCAACAGATTCGTATTGACAATGGTAAATGATAAAATGATAAAGATTATTATTATTATCATCAATAAATGATAATTCTTTTTTTATCTATCTATCTATATCTAAATAGGTTCAACAACAATGGCCACATATGAACTATATGGATGTGTTTGCCATCATGGATATCTATCTCGTAGTGGTCATTATACTGCCTATTGTCAATATGATCAACAACGTTGGTATCATTGTGATGATCAAAAAGTTCGTGATTGTACTAATTCATTTTCAATGGCAACATTAAAAGATTCATATGTATTGTTCTATCGACAACAACAACTAGATCATCATTATTCATCAAGACTTTAGATGTTTTTTTTATATATATAAAATATTTCAATTTTTCACCACCAAAGATACATTCAAGAGAATCATCAGATGTTATTTTGAAAATATTAAAATGAAAATGAAACCTAACCACACCACTTTTATGAAGAAAAAAAAATTAGTCCAAAGAATTTTTTTGAAGAATTATGAAACTTTTAAAACAAAAATTACGCCATAACAAACATTTATGTCAACAAAAAAATTATATGATATTTAATCAATTGAAAAATAAGCATTTTTTGTGATGAAAATGTTACTGATAAAATGGATTTTATTGATAGCATTATGTTATTGTATCTAATATTGAAATGAACTAAATTAATAAATAAATTTTTTCAAAATTAACAAACGAAAATTCATCACTAAAATAAATCTGATTAAATAAAAAAAAACAGATAAAATTTTGTTTTTTGCGAATGGGCCAGCGAACGAAAGAAAATTTTTTTGAATGTCAGACATCATTTCAACAAAAAAAAATGGAATTCAATAATGCAAAATGAAATGACCAAAAATTCAATCAAACAATTCAATTCAATCGTGTTTTTTTCTCTATTCGAGAATGGAAAGATCTTTCTCTTTCCATTGTTATTTGTATATTAATGTTTGTTGATGTCAATCATCAACGGTCATCAGCCAGCTAGTGTAGATCATTATTATTATCATCATCAACATGATGAATGTCCAAAAAAAAAACGATCCCGAATTTGTAAAAAAAATGAATGTCATCTCTATTTTCTCGAATCTTGAACGAACGAAAAAAAAAACAAATTGATTTTTGAAATGAATAAAAATTTTGTTGTTTTCTCGCACATCCAATAACATAAGATAATGTTATTTTTTGGGGAGAAACATCAACGAAATAACATTTCATTTCTACTCTTTTTTTTCTTCTTCTTCATTCGATTCTTTCAGGTTTCTTGTCCATCACACACAGGTCAATCATAACAGATTGGACACACACACACAATCGACTTGGATTGATGTTTGAAACATTTGTTTGTTCAGATTCGAGTTACTATCATAACTAAAAGAAAATTTCCAACAAAAGACCGGTCAGTTTTGTTTTGTTTTGTTTTTCGTTTGATGGTCAATGAACGACCACCGACTAAGAAGAACAAAACAAGGTGCAACGACCGGTCTGGTTGATTGTGTGGTAAAGGTGGTTATTATAATGTTGTTTTTTTTTCCAGATCTGATCCTATCCGATCAAACAAACAAACAAACAGAAAAAAAAGATTAGAAATAATCATTCCATCGATCAATCACAATCAAAATCAATCACAGAATGAAAAGGAAGGATTTAAAAAAAAAATTAAAAAAAATCATCAATAGAGGGCACTCTACAATTTGGAACAATAAAGTCCCCCCCAGTTTAGAATTATTCTTTATTTCGAAAAAAAAAATTAGGTCTCGTTTCAATCATCAAATGATGCCACTACTATTTGTTTTTGTCATCGACAATATTCCTTAGGATCCTTACTCAATTCTCATTATCATTTTTTTCCAACTAATTTTATTGCTTCTATTCAACAACAACGACAAAGTGTTATTTTAGTTGATATATCGGTTTTTTTGGACTTGTCCACATCATTTTCTGTTTGTTTATATGTACACACAAGGGTCGCCAAATACACAAACACACACACATCACTGAGATAAAAGAACCCTAATGAATGTTGATACTATGACCATCATTGGAAACAGCCGAACAAATTGATGAATTTCGAATGAACCGAAAATACAATTCGCGCCGAACTTAAAATGTTTGTTATCATTATTTCACAAGCCACAATCAAATCAACAATAGATGTTATAGTCCAACCAAAACTAAAGTAGAGTGAACCAAAAAAAAAAAAAAAAAAAAAACTCAACTTTTTTTCAAACATCAATGTTGTGTGTGTGTGTGCGAAAGACTCTTTCGTTTTGAATTGTTCAACATTTACGACTCTCTTTCTCTGTTTTTTTTTCTAATATTTCGATTTTACGAAATATCTCGTGTGTTTGGCTGTGGTGGAAACAAAAAGAACATTTCCATTTCATTTGAAAAACATTCGTCGTCGTCGTTGTCGTTCACCAATAACCACATCTCTTTTTTTACGTTCATTTCGTTTCGTTTTGTTCCAGAAAAATCAACAACAAGTTCTAGTTAGTTAACCTCTTGATTGGCGATGTGTAAATATCATTGTTTGTTTGAATCATCAACAGAATCGAACTTCTTAAGGTTGTTGTCACCATTTTTTTCTCTTCAAATTTCTGGTTGACATCCGAATATTCATTAATCAATCAATGTTTGTTTGTTGTCATTTCCAATCGAATCAACATCATTAAATGATGAATCATTATTCGATTGTATTTGTCTAAAACAAACGATCAACGTTTATAATTATTCATCACGTTTTTTTCATCAAATTATGATAATGATGATAAAAAATCAATTCGAATTTTGATTTTTTGCTGTTTCGTTATACTGTACACGACATATATGTACGACACGTGATCGAATAAACGAATGAATGATGATGAAATCAACAATTCGAAAACCGACCGATTCGCATACATTTCCTTGAAATTTAGAAATTTCGAAAACAAAAACGAATCAAAATTGTTAATGTTTTTTGGTGATTAAAATCGATATCCTTCATCATCATCATCATCATCATCATCACCGGCGGAACAATTCTTTATTCATCATTGAATGGTGGAAAAAAATCCAAATGTTTTTTTTTTTAAATCGATTCTAAACACAAACACTTTAAGGTGTGCTCATCCATGCAATCATCATCATCATCATTGATTGTTTCATTTCACACATACCACATGGACCATTCTTTTGGTTGTTTTTTTTCATCATCATCAACATCATCATCATTGTTTTAAAATTTTGATGGTCACACACAAATAGATTCATTCATCAGATACAAAAATTGATTTCATTATACCTTGCACACATATACACACATGTTGAACAAATTCGTTCAATGAATGAAAAAAACAGCAAAATGTTTAGTTCCACTTGAATTGTTTGCTCTGGTGATAATAACCATCATTTTTGTTTAACCAAAACGAACCAACCAACACGTTTCACATTCAACATCAATAAAACTATTGTCGAACATATATAAGAAATTGAAAGAATATCTGTGAAATTTGAAAAAAAAATCTCATCAAGAAAAACAGATTGTATGGTGTGTGTGTGTTTATGTGTCTCTGTATTTGTGTGTCCGGTTGTCTATTCTGTGATTATTTTACGAAAAATTGTGAAATAAATTGTGTTGCAACGTTTTTCACATCGTGTGATCTGTGTTGTGTTTTGTCTGGTGTATGATTCATTTTCGATTTCATTTTTTCAATTCACTCTGTGTATGTTGTTTGATTTTACGTTTGAATTTCGTTTTCGTTTCGTATTTGTTCGTTATTATCGTCGATTGATTTTTTTTATTTAGTTTTTTTTAAGGTTTCTCAGTTCAATTTTAATCATACAGACGTACACAATCTACAATTTGATCTTTCTTTTTTTTGTTCTTAATTTGTTCAAGTGTATCCATGGCCATTTGTTTTATCACGTTGTCCTGACAAAATATATACAGTACAAAAAAAAAATCCTAAGTTTTCTTTCGGATATTTCATCATCTTTTCGTTGGCCATTCAAAACTTGCCATTTTAATTTGATTAAAATATTGATCAGGTTTTTTTTTCGTTGAAAAAAATGCATTCCATTTCAAATATCGATGATCCTGTTGATTATCGAAAAAATTTGATAAAATTTATCGTTGATAAAATGTATTCGACAAAATGTATTTTGTATAAAATATGGCCAAAAATTGTGATGTCAAATTTAAAATGGATTCGGCCACCATCATCATCATCCATTTATTCATCATTATTGATGTTATTATTTTTCTTATTATCATTATCATCAAATATTGGTAAGTTTTTTTTTCATTTATTCATTGCATTATATACACCAAGAACTAATCGAATCCAGTCCAATCAAAAAATTCAATTATACATAGGTATATTGTGTTCAATTGATTGATATTGGAAAATTGGGAAAAAAAAAATCAATTGTAATCAATATTTAAGTTATAAAATAAAATAATAAAGATTGAAAATCCAATAAATCGAACTAAATCCAGATTTTTCTTTCCTTTTTTTTTTGTTCAATTTAATTTTGTGTTTCATTCGTATCATATTGTTATTGTTGTTGTTGTTGTTATTGTCAATGCAGTAACAACAACAACAAATTGGATTGAAGGATCATTGTTGTTTATGATTTAGGATGATGATGATGATCATCATCATTATTCGACAATAGTATGACCTAATTCGATTATCGTAAATGTAAAAGACAAAATTATTTTCTTTATTTCTCTATCTCTCTCTCTCTTGTTTCGATAATCGAATTCGATAAATGACAATAGGAAAAAATGTTTGTTATTTTTTTCATAATAAATTGAATCGATATGGATTAATCAAATGTATTTTATTCATTTTTTTTGAATGAATGAATCCATATTGTATTCATCGATTGATTGATTGATTGATAATATAATAATAATGACAATATGATTAATTAGCCATGTAATGTTTGTATAATCGAAATATTCTTTTATATATTCTATTCAATAAATAAATAGATAATAATGATTCATTATATAAATATGTCCATTTCAATGGGCATCATATCAAAGTATATTTCAATTCTCTCTTTGTGTAATAATAATAATAATAATATATCCTGTTATGAATTATGTCAAATGAATGAATTTTACATTTTTTCCTTCTGAATTTCTGCTGTATGACGAAAAAAAATGTAAATTCATTTGATTGTTTGAATGTGTTTCCTCTCACTGAATTCTTCCACAAAAAAAGTATACAAAAATGTTTCTGATCTGACACACTATTTTGTTTAATGAAAAAAAATAAACCAAATCAAAAATCAAATCAGTATATAGTAGTGAAATTTAGAAAAATGAATATGAAAATCCGTGACTGACTTGAATTTTTTTTTTTTTGTCACATGGTTATGTATAATGTCCTGTATGTGAAGCCATGTGTAGAATATGTATGTTTCATGTTTTTTAACTATATGTGATGTGTCATTCACACAATTTATTATCATTATATAACGGTAGTCATTATCCATGCATAATGATTCCAAACAAAATCGTTTGTTTGAAGAAGAAGAAGAAGTGGGCAAATTTCATAGGGAATTGATTTAAAAATGCCTTAGAAGTGTCTTTTTCTAATTGTTTGTCGACCATATGGTTGGTAAAATGCTCTGATTATTATTATTATTATTTGTCATGACATCCACAATGTCATTACTAATTTCTGGTTCTTTTCTCTTTTTTTTAGAGTTTTGTTAGATTTGACTTGACATTTTTACAATCCTGTCTTGTTCTGTTTTCTTTTCATCGGGTTCTCATCATTGAATTTGTCATTGAAATATACTGTTATTATTCATTATCATGGTTATAATTATTATTACTATATGATATAATTAGCAAGAACAAAAAAAAACCAAAAATCATTTCATTTTGTTTTGTTTTGTTTCGCTTCTTAGAAACAAATGATTTCGATATCCCCATAATCCGTCTGCGTTCATCAGACGATGATGATGATGATCTTTCATGTTTATTTCTCTCACACTTGATTCTATCCTATTTGTTCGTTTCAATTATAAATCACATGATTTTCAATGGAAAAAAGACGGCCAAATAGAATATGAATCATACGGATTAAGTTTTTTTACTGATGTTTCTAATTATTCAAACTGTTGTTTTTGATGGCCAAAAAATGATTCAAACAATCAACAACATTTGAAATTATCATCTTGTATGCGTGTTTAGCTTCACTGAATTCGAGATTATAGTTTTTAGAGACAACAACAAAAATTCATATCAAACAAATTACTTTTTCTACTTAGTTTTGAATTTTCTGTGAATATTTATGTAAATCATGTTCCATATATATCTTGGTTAATGAGTTTTTTTTTCACTGCTTCATCATCATCATCATCATGATTTAAAAGATTGATATGATATTTTTTCGGGTTAAAAATTGTTGAAATTGTCATAGATTTTTTGGTTTGTTTGTTATGAATGGAAAAACTTGCTATCAGAAAAAAAATCGGGTAATTGTTTTGAACTCGTTTATCGATACATACATTTCTTCTATATGTGTATGTGTGTCTGTGAAAAATTATTCAATTTAAATTTCCTGTCACTATAGTTTGTTTTTAAAAATATTATTATTATTTGTCATTATATTTATAAACTTGTCGGCTGATAATAATAATAATAATAATGATTCAAAAAAAAAATGTTAGTCATTCAGTTAAATGAACCAAAAATAATAATATTACCCAACCGGCTTGACAATTTCAATTGGATTTTCAACTTTGATGATCTAACTCTGGTCACCAATAATCGTTGGTTTTTACCGGGGACAACACACACACACAAGCAGTTGGAAATATTGCACGTGTCCGTCTGCTTCACATCTCATCAAGCACACAGACACAATTTTCAATTGTATTAGTTGTACTCAAAATAAAGCCTGTCAAAACAAATTCTCATTCTCTATGTCTCATTCGATTCGTTCTGATTTGGATTTATTTTTCAATTAGATTCAATTTTCATTCATTCATAATGATTCATTCTTTTTTCTCTCCCTCTTTCACTTTTTTTTAGTCGAGTCAACTCCCATGTTCCGAAAGGTTCCAAGTCCCATCTATTACAAACAACAAGGTATGTTTACAATTTAATGTGAGTCATACATTCTTGATCAATTCACATGTCACATATGTCACACACACGGCCCACACCAAAACAAACATACAGGATCGGATCTTGAATTAAATTGCATTACCGAACGTATCGATAATGTGTCCTGTTTTTGGCTACGAAGTGGAAAAGTTGTTCCACCACAATCGGGCAAATATGATTATTCACCATTTTCATCATCGGGTGATTGTAGTATGACTATATCACGGCTTCAATATCCAGATGATAATTCACAATGGAAATGTCAAGTATATCCGGATAAATCTGGACAAGAATTGCCAACAACTGATGTGATTGTTATGGTTCGACCTCATCAACCTAACATTACATTCGATGTAAGTTTTGAAATATCATTATTTTTTTCCCATGAAACATCTGTGCGTTTTATTGTTGTTGAATTTTCGAATAGAATTTCACCGATTCGCCTATCGCTGATCAAGTGACAAGCATTTCTTGTCAATCGACAAATGGTAATCCATTGCCACGTCTTGAATGGTATTTGGATGATATGAACATTACCCAATATGTATGTATTATAATTGTCAAACTTTACTTTCCATTTCGTCATTTCGTTATATGTTCCCCTTTTTGATTTTGGAAAAAAATAGGCAAAAGAAATTGTAAAAGATCGTACAATCAAATCTACATTACGTTATGTATTCACTAAAAAAGATAAAGGCAGTCAACTACAATGCTTATCATTTCATCCAACTGGTCAACAGGTTTCATCGAAAGTTATGAATGTACAATGTATGTATCAATCATTTCTTTTTTGACCATTAATTTATGCATTGATTATTATAATGATGTCTATTTTCGTAACAAAGATAAACCATACGTAACGGTAAAGGAGAAAACGTATACTGCATACGAAGGTAAAGATTTAGAAATCGAATGCCATGTTGAAGCCAATCCGGAAGCAAATATCTATTGGAAGCCTCGATGTAAGTATTTTTTTGAATTTTAAAATAGTTGATTTTCAATACTTAATGCCGTTGACGATGATGTTGGTCAATTACGAATGGAAATAAAGAAAGACTTTTTTCATACCATTATGATTGTCAACCATTACAATTCATTTCCTTAATTTTCATTTCAACACTGTTTTTATGTGTTTTTATTTGATTCATTTTCAGCGGAAAAAATCAACGAAACCAAATATAAAGTAATGAGCAATAAATTATTATTACGAAACATTGATTATACATTTGATGGCGAAGAATTTCAATGTTCAGCTCAAAATGCTATTGGACCATCAAAAACTGAATCTGTTAAATTGAATGTTTTATGTATGTCATATTTTCCGGATTACTTTTTATCGATATGATTAATATTTCTGTTTCGTTGATCATTAGATCCACCCCGATTGGTGAACATTGATTTTCCTCGTAAAAATATAACCGTTGGTGATGACATGCAATTCGAGTGTACTTTTGTTGGCAATCCTCCACCGAAAATTCGTTGGTGTTTCACCGATGCCATACGTAATAATCTTTATTATCCAAAAGCATCGGATGATAATCCTGGTGTTTTGATAATCAAAAATGTCACTTATCTGAATGAAGGTATGACATACTGAGGTTCTTTTTCAGGAAAAAAATATCTAAATTTCTCATTCACAGGATCATATTATTGTCAAGGCATTAATTACAATTGGATTCTGAACAAGGAAAACATGGTGCCAAGTAGTCAGTTTGCAGTCAATATTGTCGGTCGTCCATTGTTTATCAAAGTAAGTTTTTTTCTATTTAGACTTCTAATTATGTATAACAATCTTGATCATCGAAAGGATAAGAGAACTGTCATCGGATATCGCGGTCTGGATACCAAAATTGAACAAAGTTTTTGCAGTGATCCATCACCCAATCAAGTTTATTGGATTTATGGTTCGAATCGTATCCCGGTTGAGTAAGTGAATGATTATTTTTCATCATTTATAGTTGCTAATTGTATTTTTTTCAAAACAATTATAGTCTTGAAGTGGGCAAAGAAGATTCAATTCGTCCACATAATCAATTGGATCATTTTCATATCCGAACAGGACGTTTAATCAAAATTGATTCCTTATCACCGAATCCTACTTGTTTTCGTGTGGCCTTAATGGTAGCCAATACTGGCACTGAAGACATTCGTGATTATTCGCTCGTTGTACATAACAAATATGGCAAGAGTGTGGGCATCGTTACGCTTCAGGTATGCTAATAATGTTTTTGTTTCTCGTTCCAATTGATTTATCCATTTTAACCGAAACAAACGAAAAAAAGGTCAACTCTCCGTTATCCATTGCAGCAGTGATTGCATTCTCATTAATATTATTAGTCATCATATTGGCCATTACTATTGGTATCATTTTGTTACGAAGAAAACCATCTCAATCATCATCAGGCTCATCAACGATATCATCAACATCTTCTACAAATAAACAACGGATTGATGATCATCATCCTGTTGAAGTTGTCGACAACAAATATGAAGTTCAAGGTAATAGTGTATGCTGATAATAATTAAAACATTCAATTAACCGTTATATATGTTTCGTTCCATTTGTTCAGTGCCAAACAATGATTCATATGGCGATGGCAATAATAGTCTTAAAAAACATGGCAGCAAGAAAACGAATGGCCATTAAACCAATTGCATAGATAACAATATCATCATCATCTTCATTCGTTTGAGCTTCCTATCTATTCATTTGTTTATTCATCACATTCATCGACTGCTTCAATCCAAAAGAGAAGACCATTTTTTCTATTATTATCATGTCCATCCATATGATGATGACTTTCTATTTATGATGAAATCATCGTCCATCGTTGATTGTGTTTCCATTCAATCATCATCATCGGTGCCTTCATCTGATTGCCTCATACACATTCATTATTTTCGTGATTTACCATTTTTTACATCATCATCATTCAGTTGAGAATAACAAATATTATAAGGATAACTTTCACACAGACACACAAGGGCCTTTCAATCAAAATTGTTCAAAACTTATTTCATCGAATCACCACTTTGGATGGACAGTTTGGTCCGATCGATCAACAACAGCAGCAGCTTCATTTTTTCGATTGTTACATAGCGCTTCAATCATTTTTTCTCTTTTTTTTCATTTTCTATTTATATGTCCCTTTCATACTCGTATATAGACTGTATAATAGACATTTCAACATTTGATTCGCAATCAAAATTTAAACACATTTTGTACAATTTGTAATTTTTTTTCGCACTCACATACACGAATATCGATCGAATAAATTGAATGGCACCTTTCTAACATTTTTTTTAACGTCTTTCTTTCCTTTATTTTGTCGACATGTAAATAACTGATGACACATGGTCATCAAAATAATCGTCTTAAATTTTATAGAAAATAAAATCTCATGATTTTGATCTATAAAAATTTGAATCAATATGGATATCACAATTTTTATTAAATAGTCAACATTAACAATAAGATTATCAGATTAACAAAACATATATGGATAGTGTAGTCAAAAATGATAATAAAGTGTCTGTCGGTTGTTCGTAACATATCAAACAAAATTCATTTTTCATATGCATTATGGAAAATGATGAGCATTAACAACAAAAAATTCATAAAGATCAGCATAAAGGTTATCCAATGGTTCATTGTTATTGTCATTGGAAACTTCTTCCGGATCCATATCATCGTTAACGTCATCACCATGTTCGTGATGAGATCGCCAGAATGCACCAGAAGAATCGTCGAATAAATTACGTATAGACATTATATAGCTAATTTCTTCAACATCTTTTAAGGTTTTATGGTATGTGTTCGATATGAAACGGGCACGGAAATTACCAATTATTTTTTCACGTATTAATTCGATATCATAATCCATTTCATCATCATCAAATGTTGGTGACCAAACTTTTACTGAACAATTCGAACCGGCTGTAGCCAATATTGGATCGATTGGATGTGAACTCAGTGCATTTATCTATTAAATGACAAACAAGATAAAATTATTTCATCATTCATTGTTAATATGATCAGCATCTGACTTACATTGCCTACTTCATCGCCGATTTTGAAGAAAATCATTGAGCCATCACAGATATCCCATGCATAAAGGAAACCATCATTTGAAGTGCTAAATGCTAATCGATTACCGAACCAACAACATTTGAATGTGGGTTCGGAAAATAATTTCACACCTTGTCCGACCAATACAGATCGTCGTGATGGAACATTCGATATATCAGCAATGACCACTTCGCCAGTACTTGCCGAACAAAGTAATCGATCACCATTCGGACTGAATCGAACACATGGAACAGAAAAACGACTACGATCCTCTTCGTTTAATGCCAAAAATGAAAGATAATATGTACAATAAGGAAGATGATTTCGATCAGAATTGTTCTAAACAAAATAAAATAAAATCAAAATTAAAATATGACTAATATTCATTAGAAAAAAAAGTTACAATAAATCGACGATCATAGACGAGAACTGATGAACCATGACCAGCAACAGCAAATAAATGTGGTCGAATCTGACGATTACAATCGATTGTACGTAAACGAAACGCACCATCTTTCTTTCGACGTATGTTCAACAATTCAATCGCTGATTGTTGCCGAAGATCCGATTGAAATATTCGACCATCTTGGCCAGCAGATAAAATAACACAAGGATCACAGTGGACGAATTCATTGACAATGGAATCATGATAACAGGTTACACGCGATTGAGTGACTAATGATCGATCGATTAAAGCACAACGAACGAATCCATCTTCGCCACAAGTAATAATAGAATCATCATCCGGTGACCATCGACAACAACGAACACCACCACTCAGATGTCCAGAATCATAGACATAATCCAGATTACTATCCGACCAATTCCAAATGGCAACTTTGCAATCATTACCACTTGAACAAATGTATTGACCATTATAATTAAAATCCACAGAATAGATCGGTTCAATGTGTTCGAACATTTCGTATGTATGTGACATACTTTTTATCAAGTAAAGCGAATCACGAATTTGACGCTTGAATCTAATCGGATTATAAATCGACATTTTTTGGTTTTGCAGTCCATTCTAATGAGCAATATAATTTCAAATAATAAAATTTTATTTCATAATTACAAAATTAGTATTTACTGATTCATAATGTAAGCCGTATTCACGATTAACGATAGCGCGCATAATTAAACCAATTTGATTATCTTGATGACGAATCTGAACAATATTATGCTGTTGTTGTTGATGATGATGAAGATCATCCGAAGACGATCGGTCGAAATCAAAATCGACATAATCATCATCGAAATCTTCGTTAAACATTTTTAATTTAGAATTAAAACACAGTTCGATAGTTAATGATTATCATTACTTTTATTTGTATGAATTTGACATACTATTTGAATCGATTAAAGCATTTTCTACGTTTGTCAACGAAAAAAAAACAAAACAACAAAATCGTTGATCGTATGCCAATGTCATCAATTTACGACTTGTTTTTATTTACGTCGAATTTTTTTGTTTTGATTTACAAGTGAAGAGAACGATAGTTAACGATACTATCGATATTTCGTTTTTTAATTAAAAATTTTTATTTTATTTTCTTTCAACGATTTGGTATCACAAATTCTTAGATATCTTTTGCTTTTTGGTTTAAATTTCTCAGAAAAATTTGTTTAATAAAGTAATTTGGGCGTTTCCAATGGTGGTAATTCAGGAAACAATGATATTGTCGATGTTCGATTGTTACCTGCGTTCGTCGACTTACCTTCGTCATTTTTAAAGTTATTCAATTCTTTTTTCAATGAATGATTTTCTTTTTGCAAGGCTTTTGTTTCCTGCTTCGATTTTTCCATTGTTTCCATTAGATTTCGAAATGCAAATTTCATTTTTTCATTCATTGTTTGTAATTCGTTCACGATTAATATGGGTGATGTTTGACCATCGATTTTCGAATTAGAATTACGACCAGAACCAAGTGATGATGAAGGCGATGATTTTTGGTCTGATTGGCTTTTAAGTGTGAATGATAATTGTTCCAGTAATGATTCTTGTCGTTTTAGAATATTGTAAAGATCGATATCATCCGATTCGGATGTTATTCGATTGGCCATTACTAAGTCGTCGCGTGTATTTTTTGATAATAGTTGTCGATTATGATGATGATGATGATGATCCAATGATGATGATGAACTGGATGAATCTGGATTAGAACGAATTGTTTGTAAATTTTCTTTTCGATTCGTCAATTTATTCGTCAATCGAGATTGTAATCGTCGTTTAAGATGATCAATTTGATTAAGACAATGTGCCCGTTGAACAATCAATGATGAACGAATATTATCACAGCTAGTAGTTTGGATCGAATGTTCCAGATATTCTAGATTTATTTTCATACAAACAAAACACATATTCAGATGTCGGAATTTTTTTTTTTAACCAAAACAAAATTTCACTTACGAATTGCTTTGTTATAATGAAAAATTGCTTCACTAAACTGATGACATCGACTATAATATTCAGCTTTACGATGAGAACGATGAGCCTTTATGTATTTAGTTTTTTTTCCAATTAAAATGAATAAAAATTGATGATGAAAATATCATTCATCCATTGCTTACCAGATTTAAATGGCTTTCCATTCAGAAATTAAAATTGGCCAATATCCACTATCGATCCACTGTGTGTGTGTGTGTGTGTGTGTGGTTTGAGTTGCAAGTTACAACATCAACAACAACAACAAAATATACTTAAAACATTCAAATTAATGTTCAAAAAAATCCAAAACACGAATAATTTTATTTTAGCAAAATCAAAATAAAAAAATTTGCAATATTTTTTTTTCTTTTTTTTTTGGATACTCATTTTTTCCTTTCATCATTTTCCATTACATTATTTTCAATAACAACCACACTAGATGGCAGTCTTATGTCTTTCAAAATATGTTTGTTTGCTTATGTTTTATTTGATTATCAACAAAACAAAACAAAACAAAAAGTTAATTACATTTGTCTAAATAAATGGGAGAAAAATTGAACCAAAAAAGTAAAAAAAAACAAAATAATTGAACTTTTATTATTATTATTTATTCACATTAAAATATGTATTTGGAACAAATATTTGAGACATGCAAACAAAAAATAAAATGTTTTTGAAAAAAATAAATTTCCGGTTCGATCGGTGATAATTATGATGATGATGATGAAAATTGAATACGTTGCAACGCCATTATCCTGTTGTCCACTAGATTTTGTGATTAATTAATTAAATTAATTAATTTTTTTTTTTGAATTTTTGATTGTAGGGTATTCAATGAATTTTGGATCATAGAATAATGAATAAGATTGAAAAAAAACAGTGGACAACAAGAGAAAGGTATTGAACGTATCTCTCTTTTTTTTCTGGAACGTATGACGAATCAACTGACCAAACAGATCAAATAATCAGATTGTATATGATAACTAGAAATGAAACACCAAAAAAAAATATTGTTAAAATATTCGAATCAATTACAAACCTTTGACCAAAAAAAAAAAATCCATCGATGATGTTTGATGATTGATAATAGTTGTCGTCGAAGGTGATTCATACAAACAAAACTTATGACCATAACGATCGATAGCAAGATTAAGAATGAAAGAATTTTTTTCGGGTTTTTTCGATTGGGCCACAATTCACAATTATCACAATCAATTCTGAAGAATTTTGTTTAGATTTGGCTATGGATCGTTTAGGTTGCCATTGGTTTTTTTTTGGTCCATAGTTTTATTTTCTTTTTTTTTGTCTTCCTGACCATATACCATATTTCGGATTATGATGATTATTATCATCATTCATTCATCGCCTAGGTCACCCGATCACATACACACACAAAAACACCGAGACACAAATACCAATACAGAATAGACAATTTGTTATTATTGTTGTTGGTCGTAGTTTTTATGGTCATCATAATAGTTATGATCAGTCGATATGATATGGTACATATACGTGATATTGTCATGGAACACACATATATTTCGGTGGAAATTCTTTCTTCTTTTTTTTTGTCAACATGAACTCAAAAAAAACCAAAACCAAACCGACAAAAACATTGGAATGGAAAATGAAAGAGTAATGTGTGTGTGTGTTGAATATTCAATTGGAATTTCATTTCCAAAAAGAAAAATGCTTACCCACAATAATAATGAAAACATTTTTCTAATTCGTTTGATATATTCTCACTAGGGACCATATTTGTATTCGAATAATAACAACAATGCAAATGATATTCACGATTATATAACATTTTGGCTTGCCAAACTTGTGTTCAGTTGAGTCCTGTGTTAGTAAATATATAAATGAAGAAGGAAAATGAATTAAACCCAAAAAAAGAAAAAAGAACCAACATGAAAAATATTAGCTCAGGTATTTTTCCATTATTTTTTTTCGGAGTAAATTATTAATACAATTCTCATGTTCATATCATGATCGAAATAACGAAACAAAAAAAAATGAATAACAAAACAAAAAAAAGTACCAACCATCATCATTGTATATTTGACAAAATATACATACGATTCAAAACATACCTGGTCATCATCGTGATCATCATCGGTACTCGAAGATCTCTGAAAGAGAATCGGTAACCATAGAAATAGATGTTTTGGCATTTTCCATTGTTTTTTTTTTGTTGCTTTTGCTGATACAAAAAAAAGGATAAATTAATGTTAGTTATCGTTAATCTTTTTTGTTTTTTGTCGTTATTATCAAGTTGATTTGAAGAAAGTGATCTAATGTTGAAAAAAAATCAATTAATTAATTGAATTACAATACTTGACCGATTCTTGACTTTTCAAAAAAAAAAAAAACAAAAACAAAAAAATTTAAATTCGATTATGATCCAGCCGTTGCGTCGATGATGATCAAGTGATGACCAAAATTTTATTAATGTTTGCCCTTTAATGATATTTCTGCAAAAAAAAATTATTGGCAAACAAGCGATCAAATATGCAAAAAGAAGAAGAATATTCATTGCACACCAATAGCGCTATTTCAGGAACAAAAAAAAAATAATGTTCAATACCGGGACACACCTCGATATCGTCGTCGTCGTCGTAACCTTCACTATTTTCATAATTATATTCTCGAAAAGAAAGGGGCTAATCATTTTTTTCAACCAAAAAAAAACAAACTGATATCATTGATGATTGCAAATAGACGAAATGATGATTTTCATTCTTTTCCAACAAAAGAAAAAAAAAGAACATCAAAATTCTCGAACAATCATAATTATTATTATGATATAATACACCTGGAATCAGTGTACAACATTTGAAACATAGCAAACAATTTGGAACCTCTCCCAAAAAAAAACCAAACTAAACTAAATGAATATCCACCACCCTCAATATAAAAATGTTGACCAAAAAAAAAAAAAATAAAATAAAATGTGAAAAATAAAATTGAGCTTTGCGTGTATGTATACCAGAATGGCCAACGCCAAACCAACAAAAAAAAATCATTGATTGATATTCGATTTTTTTCTGGTTTTTTCTTCGTTGGTTTATCACCACCACCAACAAAAACCAATTAGTTCATGTTTTTTTTTTTGAAGATTTCAATAAGATTCATCTTCTTTTTTTTCGTTGGATCGATTGTTGATGATCGGGTGTTATTTTTTTTTTGCTGGTTGGATTCCAGGAAATCTTTTCTTTTCGATCATCGATGATTGATTTATTTGTTATGATTAAAATACAAAATATTTATTCATAGAAAATATGACGATCATCATCATATTCTAATATTAATTATTGAAACATTTACTTACATTTTGAACCAATGAAAATCAAAAAATGGAGTTTTATTCAATTGATTGACATTTACACACGAATAGGGTACTACTGCTGCTAATAGGAAAGAAATTCATTGAAAAACAAAAATGAACCGGAAATATTTATGTGTCGATGAAATTTTCGAGAAAAAAAACAAAAATGATTAGTTTGTTGAAGAAGTGGGTGCTCGTATTATTACCCGTATTTGTTTGTTTGTATGTTTGTATGCGTGTTTATTTGTTTAACATTGAAAAAAAATAATGAAAATTTTTTTTATTTTTCCATTTATTAAATGTCCAATGTATGTATCCCTTAGGATGGTAATATACGCGGAAATAGTACCAAAAATAATAAACGGGAAAAAAAGGTCCCCAAAAAAAGAAACAAAACATTTTCTATTTTCTATTTTAAAAAATGAATGAAAAAAACATATTTAAAAATACATTTGTCTATTGAATTATTGGTACTATTTTTGGTGTTGATC